ATATTTTGTTAAAACAACCCCACATTTATATCTACTAACCATTTGTTTCATATGTAAATAAAATTTATAATCACATCATTACTTTTTAAAATTTATTATTCTCACCGACATAAAATTTATTATTCTCACCAACATATAGTCAATTTAACTCACACCTCACGATTGTGAACTTTTCAACATTCACTTGAAACAACTAACCGGCATGTTAAAATAGTTGCCGAGGCAATTAGCAAGATAGCACCAACATTTATACAACCAAAAAATATGACTAGTGTACATTCCAAAATTCAACTTAATACTCGATTTTGGCCTTGGTTTAAGGTAAAATTTCAATCACATTAATAAATTTATTTTATGGCCTTAATAAGTGAACATTTATATTTTATGTGTAAGTTATTAGTATTTAGTTACATATTTCCTATCAACTTTGTTTAAAGAGATAATATTTATTTTATGACTTTGCATTGTCTTGGAAGCACTATTTTTATTACTCTTACAAACATTATTTTTATGAAGTGCATTCTATAATGCTTCCAATTTATTTTATGTTCACTAAACTAATATTGATGTATTTTTTATTTGGTAGAATTGTGTTGGTGCGATTGATGGAACATATATAGAAAGGGAGGTTCCTAAAGCAGTGCAACAAGCATATCGTAATTGCAAAGGAAGAACATCACAAAATGTCTTATGTGCTTGTGATTTTGATATGTGATTTACCTTTGTTGCTGCTGGTTGGGAAGGTACTGCACATGATAGTAAAGTACTTGAGAATGCACTTGTTGAACCAACGTCACAATTTCCATTTCCGCCACATGGTAACTTTAAATTACATCCTTCGAATAAATATTATTTATTTTCACAAAGTTGTCTCATTTACGTCACATATGCTTTTAGTAATTCTTTATAAAATGTTTTTTGGTAGATAAATATTATGTTGTTGATGCTGGTTTCCGAAACACAAAAGGATTTTTAGCTCCATACGAAGGACTACGCTACCATTTGCAAGATTACCGAGGAAGTGAAAGAGAGCCTCAAAATGCCAAAGAACTATTTAATTATAGGCATTCACCTCTGCGCAATGTGATTGAACGGACTTTTGGAGCTTGGAAAAATAGATTTAGAATACTGAAACAAGGCATGAACCATTATTATATTGATACACAAGTGAAAATTGTCATAGCTTGTGCAGTGTTACATAATTATTTGCGAGAATACCAAAGTAGTGATGAAATATTTATGGTCTATGAACATGAAGATATAGTTGCGGAGGATATTGACCAACAAATGGCTCAAAGTAACAATGTTGGTTCATCTTCTCGGTCACATGATCGAGAAATGCAAGTTCAACGACCACCAATTACTGTGGATCTTATTATGGTGCAATATGGGTGCACGTGGTGGTTTCATGGACAGAAAAGGTTCCATCTACGGTATATACCTAAAAAGTAATTTTAATAATAAATAACAATGTATTTCAAAATATTGGTGAATATATACAATAAATTATAGTTGAAAATAAATTGAAGAAAAATGAATAAAAATATATTCATGATTAAGGCGCGGATATTTCACTATCTTTAAAGAGATTCACGTTTAGTACGACATAATCTTCACTCTAGTACTAGTAGTGTAACTCTTGACTTGTCTACTCAAGAATACAACAATCCAACAACGTTGTATAAGTACTCAAATAATTTTGAATTAGTTGAAGAGTCCAAACTCCACCCAATGAATATAATCATTCAAACACTCAACACAAGGAAAAAAAACATCCTTTATATAGGTGAAGCATTTCTTTCATCTAGTAAATGAGAGAGTAGTGCGATATTAAGTGAAGTAAATCATGTATAGTATGGTTACAATATTTAAACTTTAGTGGGGTAAATAATTAAGTGGTGAAACATATTTTAGTAGTTATATAAGTTACACCAAGAAATTATGTCTTCTTTCACCGCTAATTTATTCAAATTAATATTATTATTTTAGCACTAAAATGCAATATACATCAACAAAAATTTTAAGTAATATGTATAAAAACACTATTGAGAATAGAATAAACAAAAAAATTAAAATTCAAAACTCATAAAGCTCAAAATCATTTCTCCACCATAATGCTTTCTAAGGCACATTACAGAATCATATATTGATTTTTGTATAAAGTACAGAAATCTCATATAATTGGAGGCCAATTACATCCTATTTCGAAAGTTTTTTTAATTACAAAAATATTAAATTTTTCATTGCTCTCGGATACATTCCTTGAATGTTCATTACATTGTAAATGATACATTACTTAATTGTAGGAATATATCCAAGAGGGGATGAATATATTCGAGAGATTGTGATATCAATTTTGTAATTTTTTAAATTTTAGAGATTGTAATAACTATAAATTTTCCCTTTTAGATATTTTCAATGTCAAACAAGCCCCCCGGGTCCGTTCGTCTAACAACATTATGTAAATAGGACAAAAGAATTTGGAGATTATCATTTTCATGATTGGGATCAGTCGATGTCGGACAGTTATATGAAAAAAATTCCAAGAACCTAGCTAGTAGGTGGGGGGGGGGGGGGGATGGTGAGGTACAATGCAATTATTACATATGACATTTTGCATTAAAGGCTCTCGTGGTTAGTGTACCTCCAAAAAGTTGTGCCTGCCCTATATAGAGAGCCTCAAATATGACTTACAAAATATTGTGGAAATTAAAGAACAAGTTATATAATTACCAGCAGGCCAACAGCTTGTAAAAGGTCCTCTCTAGTTGTCATGTTTTACTATTGTTATTGTTTCAATTTATTTTATGTATGTATATACATCTTGCTTTTTATATTTTATAATCTTTTGATTTCAATATTTTATCCTTTTTGTATGAGATCATTAATAATCAAATGACATTTTCAAAATAGGAAAAGGGTAAAAAATATTTTTCAATTTTTTTCAACTAATGAGAAATATATAGAATAAATTTGTCATTTATTCGATCTTAAATATTCTCTTGTTGTTAGATGGGCTGACTCAAATTTGCCACTGAACTATGATAAGTAAACTCCAATTGATTATTTTGATCTCAAATATACCATTATCGTTAAAATTCTTGTTTAGATTTACCTCTCAAGTCACTTTTTTCTTCGTCAAATACAAATTGTTACTTCCTCTGTCCCTAATTACTTGTCAACTTTTTCATTTTTTTTGTTGTTCCTAATTACTTGTCCATTTTAATAAATCAAGAAAAGACAAATTTTTTTACATATTATACCCTCAATTAATTACTTTGAAAAATGTAGAACTTCTTGAAAATCTTAAGTTTTTAATTCTTCCATTTCATAATTAATAGGAGTAAAATGGTAAACTTACTATGTCAATCATTATTTTCTTAATAGGTGTGTCAATTTAAAAGTTGCCAAGTAATTAGGGACAGAGGGAGTACTTTTTATAAATTGTTGAGGAAGAAAGTGCGAGAAATATTGGGGGAGAGATGATTAGACAAGACATAAGACCGCTTCCAGCTTATCAAGGGCATGATCTTAGATATAGGAGGGTGTGGAGAACATATATAAATTAGGTAAAAAGTTAGTAGGTTGCGGTGTGTTGTCTTGTTGTTCGTTCATATTAATAGTCGAAATATTGCACCTGTAATTTCTTATCCTTCAATTTCTATTTACTATCTGTTATTTCTCGTAGTTCATATTGTTATTATTTATTGATTCTTTGTACTTCCTTCGATCATATGTAGTGTGACACATATCATGAATACTCCTATGTGTACATCGTTGGGAGTTAGGAAAGGTTCTTGGACTGAAGAAGAAGATTTTCACTTGAGAAAATGCATTCAAAAATATGGTGAAGGGAAGTGGCATCTTGTTCCTTCTAGAGCTGGTAATTAAACGTTATAATAATACTAGTACTATTTTTCGATTTATCGTTCTTTCTTTCTTAAATTTCATGTTAATACATGCAGGTCTAAATAGATGTCGGAAAAGCTGTAGACTGAGATGGCTAAATTATCTAAGACCACATATCAAGAGAGGTGACTTTGAACCAGATGAAGTGGATCTCATTTTGAGGCTTCATAAGCTCTTAGGCAACAGGCAATTAATTAGTACTTTATAATGTTTAATACTTTAACCTCGTATATATTAATTACATAAATTATATTACTATGTATTATATAACATGTCCATTCATGCGGTATGTAGGCACGATGTTGTAAAATGTGTAATCATATCATCTAAAAATTACGTTATTTTGCGTAGGTGGTCACTTATTGCTGGTAGACTTCCAGGAAGGACAGCAAACGATGTGAAAAACCACTGGAATACTCGCCTTCTAAGAAAGTTAAATACTAATATTACTAAGAATGAAATAATAAAACCTCAACCTCGGACCTTATCATCAAATGCAAAGAATGTTTCTTGGTGCAACAACAAAAGTATGATCACAAACACATTAGATAAAGATGACGAACAACGCAACAAAGAAATCGTAGTAAATATTTGTGAGAAGCCAACGGGAGAAACAACAACGTTGTCATCGTCTATAGACGATGACAGAGTTGAATGGTGGACAAGTTTACTGGAAAATTGTAATGAAATTGAGGATGAAGAAGCAGTAGTATTGAGCTTTGAGGAAGAAAATAAGTTGTTGCCAAATTTGTTGCATCAGGAAAATAATTTACCAATCATGCTACAAGGAGAAAGTGATGGTTGGGATATTGACTTATTATGGAATCTACTTAATTAATTAATTAGTGTCATCAATATCTCTATTAAAACCTATTTATAATTAATGATATTGTGTACTGTCTGATAAGTCCTGTTATTGTCCCTCATTTGCTCTGTAACTGGTAATTTTGTATACTCAGTAACTTGAAGTTGCGTCATTTTATAATTATATAGAATGGAATATTTACATGTTTGATCAAGTGTTAATGAGTATACATATAAGCATTCCTTTGATATATATCTGTCAGCGTTTGGTCCTAGTTCGGAGAGTTTCATGAGCAACAACTACTCTGTGACTGTGTTGTTTGTTGTTGTTGTTTCTGTATTAATATATTTTTCTTCCCTGAAGTAGATCCTTCTTCCAGAAGACTAGGCACCTCCATTATCTAGTTAAGTTGTCCATTAAGAAGATTAAACATTGAATGTAACATCTCTGTTGAATTCTACAGTGAGTAAAGGGAATACAGCTCCTACCTTTAATGTGAGCTCTTCAAAGCATTGTTCTACATTTGCGCGAGTTTTAGCACTACATTCGAGAAATAAACTTCCAAGCTCTTTTGCTAGAGCAACACCTTCCTCCCTGCTAACAGCTCTCTCAGATTCCTGAAATTCCATATCAATTAATCTCCATAGTGACTCTAATGAATATAATGTTAATGTAAATTTAAGAAATAATGTACACAAATATATCTGAAGTATCACATTTCTTACAAGTTTCATACCTGACTTATCAGGTATTATCACTAACTATTTATCAAAACACACACTTTGAAGTTGATTAGACCAAGTGTTTGAATACAATTGCCAAAAGGCGAGTGACAGGATAAAGTGTATCTCCAAGCAATATTCATTCTTGCAGAAAACTTACTCTGTCAACTTTGTTTCCGACCAACATCTTAACACAATCCTCATTAGTACAATAAAGCTCCACTTCTTTTGCCCACACATCATACAGGTTAGTGAATGTGTCTCTCTTTGTCACATCATAAACTGTGATTTACAGTAATGTTTATCAGATATTATAAGCACAGAAACGAAACACAAATGAAAATTTCAGACGAAACATAGTAATAGCACAAGAAATAAATCCGGAAAATGACCCTCTATCAGTCATATGACATACCAAGAATGATCCCCTGAGCACCTCTGAAGTAGGAGCTTGTCAATGTCCTGAACTTCTCCTGTCCAGCTGAGAAGATATGTTAAAGAAAGATTACAACCTGGCATTAACTCTTGATACAACTGGGAAAAAAACTAAGCGCCTTCCTATTGAATGATCACAGAAATGTATTAGGACATACTTCACAGTTAGGCTTAGCTGTTAGAGAATACCGAAAAATCTTACCTGTGTCCCAAATGGTAAGCTTCAATCTTTTCCCACCAACAGTGAGCGTCTTGATTTTAAAATCGACACCTAGTCAATCATTGAAAAGTTCAATTTAGATGCTTAAAAGTAACTGCTGCTAATCCAGAAAAATCCACAATAATGCAAGCATAGGATGCAGAGTAATTAGTTTTTCGATAAGAATTATTTTTTCAAGAAAGAACAAATCATGTAGCTAAGAAAAAGGGCAGCCCGGTGCACTAAGCTCCTGTTAAATATTAGAAAGAGCTAGAGAGCCTAAATTATTGACAATTGGATTAAGATAAGTTTAAATGAGCAATGCTCATCTTCTGTAGGATTCATATAACTAACTCCAACTTAGCTTAATTAACTAAAGCATATATCTAGTAATATAATTGTTGTTGGATGAAGATGAATACCAATGGTAGGGGTAATATCGTCAACAGCATTAGAAATGAAACTGAGGAGCAAGCTGCTCTTCCCCACTCCTGAGTCACCGATCAATAAGATCTTAAACGACAGATCATAGCTGCTGCTGCTCTGCGTGGCCGTTGATGATCCCATTCTCTTTCTCCCTCGATCAATGAAAAACTTAGTCTCTCTAGCTCCACCGAGAAAGATGCAATAAAATCCTATTACATATCATTCACCCTTTTATATATAGAGAGAGAGAGAAAGTGATTGCATAGCGTATAGGTTTTAGAGAAAGAAAGAGAGAAAAATGGGTGGCTGAAGAGTAAGGACAATGTCATTGCAAGTTATGCTTATTCTTTTCCCTTTCTTCTTCTTTCTATCTATTCCTGGAGTGGCATTGAGGTAAATATAGCCACTTTTTAAACTGCTAAACAAACTTTAAGCAATATTTTAAAATTGATTTGAACTTTAACTATAGAGTATTTTTTTTAATATGAAAATATCATCTGAACGATATACTCTTGGATTAAAGCACCTGATGGCAGACCTCCATTTCAAATTAAAGTTCCTCTATACTGAATTGAAATTCTAGTAGCTATAACAATATTAATACTAGTAATAGTCCAATTTATGATTACGAGGATTCTTATCTAAATACTAATAACACAGGGAATCCAAAAAATATTGTGTTGGTGGCATCTTCATAATAGAAAATGAAAGTACAAAATGCAGAAATGTTATGGCAGTATAGAAAAGTACTGTAGCCAGAACAGTTCAAATTTATTTTCTTCCGAAATAATGAAAACCGCTTTATACATAATCCGTCTTGCGTATTCTCAATTAACGCAAACAGTAGATAAACATCTGCCAACTACAAAACATTTGAGGATAAGTATGAGGTGTAAACAACAATGTACAAACTCTTCTAATTTACAATTGATCGTGCAGGAAACACCTTTCGGATGAACTGTAAGAAACGCTGTGAATAAAATGTTGGTTCCACAGCAGATATGGACATAGAATCAAACAGAACTGATTTGTATGCATGTTCTATTTTCTTACGTAGGTTGTATTCTTGCAATATGTCAATGATGCCGACATACAATACAACATCGTATACTTCAAGAAACATTTGTGTATCACCTTTCCCGGGTATATGATCTGCCCTTGCTGGCATATTCACTCCAAGCTGAATCTGGAGCCTGCTTAGGGACATGAAAGAAGTGACTTTTAGAATATATCAACAAAAACAGAAAACTAAAAAGGTACAAACTAATCAATAGTATAGTTTACACGCGAAATAGCCAAAAATCTGCCTTCCTTAAGGTGAATGTATAAGATTCATGAACTTTCATTCTGGCTCTAGGGATGGAGACAGGTAGGGCCGAGGGGGGTCATCCAAACCCCCTTCGGCGGAAAATTGCATAGTTTATACATAGTTAAAATTATTTTTTATGTATATATAGTCTGTTGCTCAAACTCTTCAAAAATGTCAACGGGTGTGTGTCGGATTCTCCAAAAGTAGTGTATTTTTGGAGAATCCGACATGGGTGTGGCATCAAAAGTGAAGAGTCCATGCATCTTAGTTAATATAGTAGATGTTGAACCCCCTTCGGCTTCTTCGTGTGTTTACTTCTTCATCTATTGAACCCCCTTAGTGAAAATCTTGGTTTCGCCACTGACCGGCTCAACTGCTAAGTCTTGCTTAATTACAGTGTTTTACGTGTCGTGGGAACTTCTAATAAACAGAAGTATTCATACTTAAACTTACTCGGCACTGTGGTTCAAGTAACCTACTGAGTCCTGCAGTACATTGTCCTAGCATGGTTTTCTAAGCGTGCTTAAAATGCACTGACAAAAGGAAAGTAGCACGTTCAAGCTTTTTGAAAATACCTTGCTGTCCCAGGGAGGAGGAGATCCACTTCCTTGTCACCAGTGGCAGATGATGCTCGCAATCGTCTGCCTCTGACATGAGAACCCACTACTAGACAATTATCATCTGCACCACGAGGGACTAAAACAAGGCCTTGGGGTGATATTTCATCCTCCGGAGACTCTGTAATTAACAAAAGAAGAAAAAGTTCAGAAATAGTGATTAGTTCTAGAGGCAAATCCATGATTTTTAGTTTATGTGCTCTGGACCATAATCCTTTTTTGTTTACTGGGTTCTGGATAAATTATTCATACATAGTAAATGAATGTTTATACAAAAACAAAGCTAGAGCCAAAGATATTGGGTTCTATCGAACCCGTAAGTATTAAGGTGGCTCCACCCCTGGTGATTGTGCGCCCTCACTGATTAGAAAGGGAGATCAGTAATATACTTTAAAGAAACTATTATGCTTAAAGAAACTATTATGCTTTCTGCCCCATAAAAAAAATAACAAAGAACTCCCAGTATTGATACGAAACTTCTATATTGTATAAATACATCTAGTATTGGTGTATACGAAGTATGCACAAGCTACATTTAACACACAAAAGAGTCCTAAACCTCTGATCTATTACTAGAACTCTGAAGTCGATGGCAAATTCACTGTACAATGTGAAATCTTTTATTGTTCTGATGCCTATGTCACATACTTGTTTGGACGGGTTTTTTTTTTTTTTAAGAACGGGAGAGGAATTTCACATCTATTTCTAAATAATTTGATAACTTTTCATTTATAATGTGTCCCACGGTGGCCTGCAGTTAAGATTTGTGTGCCCAACTTCTATAGAAATGGCATGAGCTAGATAGAAAAGTTCAAAAACATGAAACCACTAAACTTCATCGAAAATCAGAGTCAATAGAAGTAAGGTTCTACCATGGGATTCCATTGCTAGTTATCTCACATTTTTGGTTACAAAGGTCCCAAAAGTGATCGATAGCATAACAATAGAATAACAACTCAGCCTATTTATTAGTGAAAATTAAAGGGCACTCACCTTGCCTAAATGTTGAAAGAAATGTCCTCTAGTCCGCTGGCTGTTCCATAGTCTTTCAATATTTCTAACTCGTCCATACTCAGCACACAACCAAATCAGAAAGTTTGTCTATTTTGTACTCTGGAATTTATTCTTTGAGATTAGATTGGTGTTCAGGGCTCTCGTAAATAAGTATTATCTAGACTTTACTGCTGTTCAGATCTTCTGGACCAGTTAAATTTATAGACACCAGATACTGAATTTACCCGGTTTCATGGTGATAAGCCTCAGAGTTGTTCAACCACATAATTACTTATAATCTTTCAGAAACAAACCTACCATCATCTGCAACAATTCCCAATCCTTCTGTTGCTGTACATCCACTGCACGAGATGGGAGATCGTAGATGCTGGGGTGCTCTATAATGAACACCTAACAAGAGGCTGTAATCCATTATGTGCTGCTGCTCCAAAAATTTGCTGTCAATCTCAATCTGCCTGTACAAGTACATTGATGTCAACAGCAAAACGAGAGCATTTAAAAGGATTTTCATTGAAATGAAAAAAAGCAAACATTATTTCAAATCACTTATCCAGCTATTTCAACTTAGTATACTGTTGAACACATTCATTGTATACTTATCACCATAGGAACTTGAATGAATTCATAAAGATTCTATCATTCTAGTGTGAAGTATGTGACCATATAAAAGAGAAAACTGTCAGATGATCTCTGGATGCCACTAATTTTTTTTATTCCAGGTTAAAGTACCAGATGTATGAATGCACTCGAAACTTTACTGTGTCTTCTAAAAACTTGCAGAAATACTTGCAGAAATTTGCAAGAATGCATAAATAAGCGGGGGTTGAAAATTTAAAGAATCGCTTCACGGGGCAGGGTGGGTTGAGATTTTTGCAGGTTAAGCCAACCCCCACCCCACCCCACCCCCATTGTCATCCTTATTAACATAGAGGTTCTAGAGAAGTCAGGGATCATCAAACATAAAGAGAAATACTCTCGAACAGTTTTTGAATGCAAGTGGTAACTGATTACAGGGAAAGTACTAATAGATCCATGCTCTCTAAACCATACTCTTATCTTATTAAACATGCAGAAATACAATAACTAGCCACCTCCATCTTAAAAGAATGGAGAAAACAGCAAGAAAAACATTCATTCTTTGCAAACATTTGGTATGAGTGAAGCCGGAACTTTCCACCATATTTGATCAGATGAATGATGAGAAACTGTTACTAAAGAATACGACCTATTTCAAATAACTGTTACTAAAGCATACGGCTACTATAGTGGCTGAGAAATGCTAATAGCCTAATGCAAGGAAATAGAAAATGTCAAAACTAGCAACTCATGGAATTATTCAACTAACTGGAATTCATTAGTTTCTCTCTGTTACAAAAGAATTGTTTCAACTATCAAAAGGCCTCAAAAGTATCATGCTACTGACGGGCATTAACCAAAGGGCTAACTGAGTCGCTTTGTGCAGTACAGCAATATTACCAGAAAAGCATGACTGGTGCTGTTCAAATCCTTGGATATCTAACTGCACAAAGTACTTCCTATTTTAAATGCCAAATAACTAAAGGACTAGATCAAAATTAAGAATGAAATTTTGTTAAAGCTAGACAAAAGATTTTAAGAAACAAAGAAGTCCTTTTCACTTAAATTTACCAGTTTTTAAAAAAAAAAATTTAAGGAAGGAAGAAGTCCTAGCATATGAACATTCACTAATTAAACAAGAAGCCCTATGGAAGATCTATGTACGAATAAGAAGAAAAGAAAAGGTTAAGTGCATAAACATCAGAGGAAATACATGCAAAATATGGAATATTTTACCAAGACTCACTTTAGTAAAGCTTCCCGCCAAGAAGGCTCTAGATAAAAGCAGTAGTTCAAATCTAGATCCTTGAGAATTGTGTTTTCGTCAATTTCAACCTTATTTGCAGATCGTCCAAGTGAGGAACCTTTAAGATCAAATCTTCGGTGGATTCTTAACTCTGTGCAGAACATATTTCCCATTACTACAAAGCGTAACTGCAAATGTAATTGAAAAAGAAAAACAGTTAAGCTTTTTATATGCAAGAGTCTATACATTCTTTCTTCAAATGAGATCATGCACATGAAAAAAATGTTCTGAAACCAAACCACCAAATGAAGAGGACATGGAGGAAAGTGATACTCCTCCATCTCATTTACAAGGTTGTAATGATAATGAAGCTGAAGCATATGGTAAAATAACATTTGCACATCAAAGTTTAAAATTTGAGTAGTTTATATTGTGAAAGTTGTATAGAAATGGAATGGTGCCAAACATTTCAGGACATCCAAAATGGAAGGAGAGTTCTATAAATTGGGATGGAGGATTTTCTGACTAACAATGTAAATGAGTCCCTCCACCCAGGTTTTGGTTCTCATGCAGGTGTTAGTGTTCTACAAGATGTATGATCAAAATACAAAAAAAGAAAGTGAACAAATCATTATATATTAAGATAAATGATCAATCATAAAAAGATAAAATAATGAAAGAAAGAAACAATAAAAAGAAAAAGCAAAAAACTCATTCTGCGTTCACTTTAATTTGGTTTATACATTTAGCATAATAACTTAGATGGTTTAGTTCTTCCTTTTGATAAGTATAAAACATATACTTGTCACAAATTTTATTTTACTCAGATAAACATATGAGTTAGTTATAATTAAATATCTCAACATGTAAGTATGTACATATCAATTTAAAGTTTTTCAGATGTGTTATATGATATTTCATGATTAGTCATTTTTTGTTTCTATGATAAATCAACTTCTTACTTAATTTGTAACAGAAGTTTATGAAATTTTGTTTTCATTATTAAACACTAAACATATTTGATGTAATATAACTTCTTAAGTTGTCTTAACTTTGTTTTGCTCAGTTTGTAGAAACTCACAAGTAAAAGAAAGGAATGATGAAATAATTTGAATGTCTAAATTTATACCATTTGTCCTCTTGAGGGCTTTATCATGTGAAGACCAAAGAATTTAGTGATGAGAGTATTCTCATATGCCTTGACATGACGATGATAATTTGGAAGCATTCGCAGCAGAACCTACATGTAAAATGCACGTTAATAAGAATGATTACCAACCCACTAATTGGAAAAATTCTCTTTTCCATATACCTAACTTAAAAGTATCAGAGGAATGCTGATAAATTAGTCAGAGATTTAAAAAAGAGTTGTTTTGAGATGTTAACTACATTGTAAGCACTATCTTAGTGCTGCTATGCAATAAAATTACGTATCAAAACAAAGACTTTATAGCTATAACAGGAACAAGAAAATATGCCAAGCATTAGCCAGGAAGGATAGCTCTTCAAGAAGCATGTTGAAAGAGAAGAAAACAGAAATTCCAGATTAGATATTGCCAAGGCAATCTAACGAGATAAGTTGAACTTCAGAATGAGGAAGTACTTCGATTAGCCTTATCTCTATCTCTTAAATAATCTTTTCCAACAACCTGTAGATGCGTTCCCTGAACTGAACAATTATGACTACCACCCTGGTAAAATAGTTTAAGAGGCGGACTGTGATACATCAACGCATGAGATTTAATCATTTAAGCTAAGATAGCATACCTTAACTTCTGACTTCCGTAATGTCTTAATCATGAAACGACCATCTTGAGACAGGAAAAACACACTGCCACTTTTCCCAGGAGAAGAAAGTTCTCTAAGTGCATCATTTCCACAGATGGACATCATGTAGTCAGCAGTATCAATCTTGAACAATTCCCTCAGATTCCTACAAGAAGGTAAATTCATTCCACTTATTCTACACATGCATATAAATGAACAAACAAAATACTAATAATTAGCTCGACTTCTATGAGACCATCTGTTGCACCTAGAAAATGAATATATGAAGAGATACAAGTATTTGGCTCAGTTGATCAGTTATTCAAATAAAAATGTTGGTCACACTTCTTTTATTATCAGAAGATCCTCTTTCTTAACTGATTAGCAAAGGCGAAGTACATCTGAGAGAAGTCATAAAAGATATGAAGCTGTGATTTACACATATATCTGTATACTAAAGTCAGTTAGATGTACATTCGCTGATCCGGATTCCGCTCAAATAGATCAAGCTATTTCCTCACAGTTGACATGCCTTCAAGACCAAAAACAATGGAATCACAAATTGCAATTGACTTTGAAGGTAGAAGATGGTAAATGACAAACCTGAAAACCACTGGACAATAATCTTTCCATTTGAAATCTTCTGATTGATGAGAAGGTGTCAGTTGAGATCCTTTTTTCGGAAAATACATCCGAGAGCACTCACAGGCACAAAAATCAGAAGCTCCCACTTCTCGCCTTTGTCCCGGTGTAATTTTCCCCACACTGTATCTGGTCATATTTCAAAACTTTTCAACATGAGTAAACTAGAACCTTAACTGGTCATCAAGGTTCATATACGATAAACAGGAGGACAGTAACTCTTTGTCCAGTACGATTGCCTTTCTTTGAACCTCACAGTCACATATATGGACCAGGTGTCTGTTATGTTCAATATTTGATGGGAGTTACCAAAAACTATGAGTGAACCAATTTCAAGCTGGAGATTACAAAGATAGAAAAAGAGAAGAACGTAACTGAAAGAACATCACTGCACTATGTCTCTTTTGGCTTATATAGATTGAAAGAAACAGAGAACTTTTCAATATAGTGAGAGTATTAAAGGATCCTTTTTGTTTCATTTATACTTTTGAGTAAAGAGAGAATCCCTGCTTGTATAAATAGATGGGATGACTTGTTATATGATGGTGCTGAGCCACAAAACATGTTTGTATGTATTTTAATAATCAGCCTGGTACATTTATAATGAAATTGAGAGGTACAATGGTAGCACACTTGGCATGATTAAATCAAAAGAATTTCATAAGCAACATTAGCAGTGCATGACTAAAACATGTGCTGAATTGCAGTGAAGAATTTAGTGGTAGATGAGACTCAACTTCATTTGTTTGCACAGCATTTTAGGAGAAAGCAAAGGCAGAAGCAAATAAAAGTGTTTACATGGTTAACCTCTCCATATAGCAAATGGATCCTACTAATAAACAAGTCTTCACATTCAATACTATTCGCACTTCAGGAGTAACACAAAGAAATCATAGACGGGGTTGTATGGGATAAAAAGGCTTTTACCAACTCCTCTGACACAAGAAGTTCCTATCATCAATTTACATTCTAGTTTTCTCCAAGACTTTCCCTTTGTTCAATTCATTATTATCTGATCAACTGAGTAGTGTGCTCCTTCTGCCAACAGACATTTTTCCAGAAAAGTTTATGTAAACATTTCTTAGGAAAAAGAATTGTGCAAAAAGAAAACATATCTGGATTTATGTAGTTTTTCTGAAGATTTTTGAGTGTTTGGTGGATGAAAGAAAAACTTCTCTTTCGAAAACACAACAAAATCACTTCTTCAAAAAACAACTTTATGAAAGAAATATCTTTTGCAAAACGTCTTGAAGAAACTTCAACAAATATGTGTTTCTGGAAAAAAGAATGTTACGAGATCTCATAAAGATTACCACAAACAAATGCCACTTAAATGGATGTGACCAAAATACCAAGATACTAACCATGATTAACCTCGTTAACATAATTCTTCTGACCCTATGAGTATAGGAACTTGTTATTCTGTTTTTAGCCTATGATGTATTTTACCTTTTCTTAAGTCTAACATGAATTAGTTATCAAAAGAGACTACACTTTTTTCCTGAATGGTATTCCTTCATTTTGCCATGATTATATACACAATTTAACAACTTTCCACATCTAACACAGAATTTCCAGTAGATAGAACTTTGTGGAAGATGCAAAACGTCCATTGACTTGCAAAGACATAACTTTGCAAAGATGCAAACTTCCTTTGAGTTTCCTTGATATCAAGGACTTCCATCCTTCCTCCAATTCATAGTGATTTACAGAAAAATAAGAATCATAGCAAGCAATTCTAATGGTCCTTCCATGTATTCAAGTAAATCGCAAGATGAAACCATGATTATTACCCACAGGAGCAGGCGGGGTGCAGACATTAAAACCTACTTCATTTCCAACTGAATATCAAATTCAACTCTCTTTTTTCCTATTTCTTTTCCTTTTCTGTTAACTACCATAGCTAAAGAAGATAGTGGAAATAAACTTAGAAAGGGACTAGTTAAATTATAGCATTATAGGTTTATATTTTACCAGTTTATCTTTAGCTAAAGTAGTTTGACAAACAAAAAGGAATCAATAAAAACAGCACCAACAAAGTCCAGCAAAAGTAAATCTGCTGCAAACATGAGAGGAAAACAAATTTTGAGCAGACGTAAGTAGTGTACCTGATACCAAGCTGCAAACTAAGCATTACATTGTAATGCCTATGACCCTTAATAATTGCTTCACCTGGCCTCTTTGATTCCCTCGCAAGTGTCCTTTGTCTCCTTTTTGCTGCTCTTCTAGCTGGTGAGAATCGATCATTTAGGACAACCTCACTGATTAGTACACCTTGCATGTATTCTCTTTCTAAAATTGGAGTATTCATATCGTTCCCAGTATCAACACCATCTATATCATTTCCAATTACCTTCTCAATAGCTACTTCAAGACTCCATCGTCTTTCCAGAGTAACATTAGTGGGGTGTGACTGTTCAAGATTTGATATGTTCCCCTTTGAAAGCCTATCATATGAATGTCTTGAGGATCCTTTGTTTCCACTTACTTTGACATTTTCTGTATCTACTGAAGAGGAATGATAAATATGCGAGACTCGTTTTTGTTTTCTCAAATCTGGCAATAATCCTTGTTTTCTCAAAGCATTGAGGTAAAATTCCTGACCAGCCGTAAGTCTGCTACCGCTAGGATAAAATGTTCCCTCTCCATCTTTTAGTCCATGTGTCCATGTTCCAATATAACAGCCACCATCTCTCCAAGTATATGCACCAAGACCGTGCATCATACCATTTAACCATCTTCCTTCATATGAATCTCCATTGATCCAAGTGAGAGATCCTTTTCCAGATAATGTCCCTCCCTTCATATTACCCACGTAGACATTCCCATTCGCCCATTTATACTTACCACGTCCTTCAGGGGTTCCTCTAATCCATGACCCTTTGAAAAAATCTCCATTGGGATACAATTGATACCCTAAACCATGTTTGAGATTGAACCGCCAGCGTCCCCTATAAGTCACTTTATCAGGAGCAATATGCATTCCGTCACCATGCATATAGCCACCTGAAAATTCACCATCATATACAGCACCAGTAGGCCACTCTAGTTTCCCATGCCCGTGCCTCATTCCATGTCTCCACTCACCCTCATACCGACTACCATCAGACCAGACATACTTTCCTGAACCCTCAGGTATGTTTCCCAGCAGAGATCCAGAATACGAGTCCCCATTTGGTAAGAAGAGATCCCTAATTCTAAAGCTGGTGCTTTCAGAAGTATGATTGACTTCTCTATTTGTCCATTTACTAGAGCGGTTATTTTCATTAATTAACACAGCGTCGAGAGACTTTGTCCTATCTGACAAAGAAAGTGTTTTTCCAATGCTATCAACAATAGCCACAGAGCCAGACATGCAAAATTCCAAGAAGTTTCAGTTTTATATTGGATGGAAGAGGACAAGATTCCCTCACTAGCTAAAGCACACCCCCAATATAAAATGATTTGATGAATTTCCCCTTCTTTGACCTGAAAGGCAGAAAAGCAGAGTAGTTGAACCCATCGATAGACATATTCGACCTATGGCACAAAACAACAAAGTAAAATAAGGGGAAAAATCAATTCTTTCTCAGTCCACAAATAAGAATAGGAAGCTAGACCTCTATTCCAATAGTTCTTGCAGTTTGTTGACACATTCAAGAAATAATAACCATGAAGGTCATATTCAACACCATATATACCACAAAAGGTCTATGAAATGAATATTCATGAACAGATGGGTATACCGTATATCAGATCATATTGACCTCAATAATATGAACAAGTAGAGTATGCCTAGTACAGCATCCTAACTTCCAGGAAATTTGTATTCCCAAATGATGAGCTAACACTATCTTAACGGCCAAGAATCAACACAAATGTTTTATCTTTTTATAGGTTCAGCATGAAACTATTAATCAGCTCACTTGGAATCCTTATACTCAAGTCATTACCCAAAAAGATGATGTCCTTATACTCAAGTCATTACCCAAAAAGATGATGTCCTTATACTCAAGTCATTACCCAAAAAGATGATGTCCTTATACTCAAGTCATTACCCAAAAAGATGATGTCAATTAACATTTCATGTCTACTGGTAGCCCTAAACTGCTGTAGAATTTGCAGAAGATAAGTGAAACCATAAAGAAACACACACACGAGTGATGATGCCCCCAAAAATACCATTTAAAGAGTGCATCAAACAAATGCCTAACAACTCAAGTCACAGTACTATCAAATACTTTATTCTCCTCCATACCAAAAGAACAAAAAAAAAACTTGTCTTTTCAGAACAAGATCACACAACTGGTCCCAAACCCAGATAAAGGAGAAGGGTTGCGGTAGGCTGGCACCCAGCGTAAAACTTGCAATTTACGGTGAATCTTCATAATACTAATGGAATAGTGAATATTCACATAACCAATCCTAACATGTTTGTTCTTGTTCAGAATTTAGTAATACAACATTATCATGTTTTGTGATAGAGAGAATTGAAGAATTAGAATTCACCTTCCCACCATCCTCTTAAATTCTGTTAGGGATAACTTGCACCCACCTCGACCAATTTTACATGATACCTATCACCTCCCGCCAGCAACAAGTATAACATGAGACACCGAAGTTCTCAACCCACCTCATCGATCACTTGCCTTGTATTGCTTAAAGCAAACTAACCTCCAACAAATGATCAAAAAGGCAGCTTGTAAACAGTTACACATTAATAATTCAAAATTTCATAGAGATTTCGCTGCCAATATTTCTTTTTATCACGCTTTAAACGTGTTGAATTCAAAATTTTCACGATAAACAAAAATAAAATCAATCAGTGAACAAAAAAAAAATTAAAAATCTGAAAGAGAACGATCAAAACCTCAAAAAGAATTAAAAAGCAACAATCTACATTATACAATACAATTTTTTTGTATTCGAAAGAGAATAATTAAAAATTATACACAAACATAATAATCATTTACTATTTGAATAAAATATGTGTTATAGAGAGAGAAAGATACCGCGAAGGACGAGCAATGTAGAGAGAGAAAGAAAGCGGAAAGTTGGAAGAAGTAAAAAGTGCCTTTCAGTTTCAGTTTAAGTTTCGCTTTCTTCGTGATATATGAATTTCGCTCTTTAGCAGACGAGAAAAGAAATATCAAAAAGACAACTTTGCCCGTGCAAATACTTTTTTTTATTCAATTATTTTTATGAAATGGTGTAGTAGTATTAATTAGAAGGAGATATGGATTCGTTTGGTATGACAGATGAGAATAAATTGTCTTGAATTAAAAAAAGAGTAACTTTCACATATAGCAAACATAAAAATTATATTTGTATGTTATAGTTATAGTTTGTATAATTGCGCTTTGATTTGCATAATTCGCCAAATACATCCAATTTTATACAAATTATTCAGTTTTGTATAAATTCATTTATACATTGTAATTTGTATAATAAGATATGTATTTGTATAATTATAAGTGTATAGGATGAAAATATATGTATTTGTATTTGTATATACAATTTTCTCTGGCTTTATACAAACACAAATGCATTTTATACCGAAATGTATAAAATGGCTAATTGTATGCCAAATCAGATGGCAAAAAATAGGATGTTTGCTGCAAATTACAAAGAAAATAAACTATGACTATAACATTTAATTTGAATTAATAGTTTGTTAATTCAAACAATTTTCCCATAATAAATAGTCTTGAGATAAAATTTTATTATCTTGTTTGGTTGTCATGTTTGAGATAACTTATTCCACAATTTATATCATAGTGATGGGATAAGTTATAACTTATCTCATGGATATTTAATCCTGGGATAACTTGTTAGTTATCCCAACCAAACGACCCTATGCTGCCCTCGTCTACAAACTTTAATAGATATACTCTTCCCCAAATCGATCAAAATTACTCAATTTCAACTGAAATTACTTGATTTCATCTTTTTAACTCGAACCCAACCCAATCTATCTAACTAAATATAGAATTATTTTTTTTCATTTTGTGCTCGGTTATCTATTTTTGATGTACAACTATAATCTACCTTTGCACTGAAATCCTATTTGGGGGGCAAAGTACTCACTATCAAAGTCGACTTTATATTCAAAACTCAAACCCAAAAACTCTGATTATGAATAATAAAATACTTACCACTCACCACAACTTTTGATGGTACATAGAATTCAAACTTTGTTGCTTTCTGCAAGTATCCAACGAAACTCTTTCCTTTACTTTAAAGAGACATTTTTTTCTTAATTACAAGGAAAGTTGATTAAAAATTAATCTAACTTAATTTGTCTATAATATATAATAAGTCAAATAGAGTTGTATTAAATAAATTGAAGCAAAGAGTTTTCATCAAGTAAGGAATGCCTCATTGCACATACGCTGACTTTGGTTAATTTGTCAACAAATGCTAAATGGCCAGAAAATTTGGCCAAATTTGGTCAGAAATTTAAAAAAATTATAATATCTTTTTTATTTTAAAATAAACTGATTTTTTTTCCATTTTTTAGTTAAAATGTATTTAAATTAGAAGGATAAAAATGTTTAAAAAGGTAAAATACCATTCTGGCCAAATTTTCTGGCCAAAAAGGATTTTTCCTATTTTTAATCGGTGCTTCATCAACTACTTATTTTTTTAATTAAAAAACGGAATGTTGTCATCAACGTGCACAAATCATTATGAATTGAATGTGGAATTCAAATATTTAATTAGCAAGCTTTGGTAATTAAACTCATAAAAATTGACATTTAAGCCCTAAATAATTCTTTCTTTACCAATGTGTTTATTTAGCTCATAATTAGTTTTATAGGTTAGCCCACTATTTCTTTCGTTCGTTTTTCCTAGTCCTTTATTAACTTCATATTCTCCTTTAAGTAATTATTATTAAGCGTTTATTTTACTAAATATTTTTATAGTTATTTAGTGGTAAAGATAATATTGGAAAAAAAGAATTATTTTATTTTGATTTGTTGTAATGAATAAGTAAAAAAGAAATTGTTATATATTTTATATAAGAAACTAGTAAAAGAAAACCGAAGAAGTATTTTGTAGGAGATATTTGTTAGCTAATGATTTGTTGTCTTGTTTTGGTAAACAAATGACTTTATTTACCGTATACATATATAACTTAATTTTTTGTTGTATTAATTTCTTCAGAGCTTATAATATTGCTTAAGCATTGTTTTAACTATATTCCTATAGCCATTTGTTGTTTAGTGCGTTTCATCTCTCACAATATTTCTTGATGTTATTGTCGCCTTTGTTGATTATACACTTTTTTTCTTATTGGATGTTATGTTTTATATACTGTTTCGTCTTCTTTTACTTGGATTTGATGTACTTGAGCTGAGGGTCCTCCGGAAACAACCTCTCTATCTCCACGAGGTAGTGGTAAGGTCTGCGTACAATCTACCCTCCCCAAACCCCACGTAGTGGGATTCCATTGGGTATGTTATTGTTGTTGTTGTTTGTTGTTATTGTTTTAACTATATTCTTTGTTGTCATTTAAAAAAAATATTATTAAATATTTAATATTCGCATTAAAATTCAATTAAATCCAATTTCATACATTGCATGATCCATTTTTAAATCAACGCTCCCAATAAAATTATTTCACCATTAATCTTTATCGATTAAATGATTGTTTTAAGATATCATTATCAATCCAAATGCTGTCACAATGCATCAATCTTCTCATCATAATGGCATGCCCATAACATGTGCACCACAACATTGTTATAAAATAATTTTGGTCGGTATATTCTGAAAAGGACTACTCAATTTGTACCATCATTTCCACTATATATTGAACAAACCTATTATTTAAAAAATAAAAATGAAATTGAAGTTCCTAGGTCAAGGAAGTTACTTGTTTTATTTAAAATAAAATTATTAGTATTTTAATCTTATAACTGGAATGAAAAAGACGGCTTTTCATAAATAACAAAATGTCGGTTTATAAGTACTAAAAACTATATTAGAAACCTAAAAGATAATAATAAGAATATATTTTCCTTTTTAAAAAAAATAGTTGTGGTGTTCCAATTTGACTTTGCTTGCTCTATAGCAGTCAATGCCTCCCCTTGTGAACTAAAAAATTTCCCCTTTCTAAAAAGTTTAAAATGTTGTATTATTTTTTGTTTTGTACTTTATCAATGAGATATTTGTACGAAAATTACATTTTTAATAGAAAAATTACACGGTCAAGTAAACATATAGTATTAGTTAATTAGTCATCATATGTATAGTTTTAGTTAATTATCACTCGCGATCTATATTCATTCAGTAATAATTACGTGACTAAAGTTTCGAGTTTGTATAATTTACACGTTTATATAATTCATGCAATTTTTTGCATATTTAAAGTTACATATGTCTCTGTGTTGATGTTACTTCTTTTTGTTCTCTCTCATGCATTTCTTTTCAATATCTTTTT